TGGCTGGAATCACTAGGTTCTTGTGGGTTTTTTCGGGCTATAGAGCCATGTTCTAGAGGCATTTCTCCTGACGTTTCGCCTGCATCTATGGCAGGCATCCTCAGAGGTGTGAGGTCTGTTGGAATTAGGACAATGGGTTTATATGTCTGTGGAATGGCTGGGGTGGGGCAAGGAGCTCTTCCCTGCTGCAGTTAGGTGTGAATGTTTAGCTGATCACCTTCATTAGCATTTGAAGGCCTGCCTGAGCCTGGGAAAATCTGTTGCTGGGAGGTGTTAATCTGTGCCTGGTTTTTTCCTCTCTGTTGTTTAGCTGTTATAATTTTAGAGTTTTTTAATACTGGTAGCCAGATTTTGTTCATTTTCACGGTCTCTTCCTTTCTGTTGAAATTGTCCACATGCTTGTGGATTTCAATGGCTTCTCTGTGTAGTCTGACATGGTGGTTGTTGGTGTGGTCCAGCATTTCTGTGTTGCTAGTGTTGATATTTCTTCTTGTGAATATCTTAAATGTGTTGCATCTAACACCTTTCCAGTGCATCTATGAAGGAGAATCCTCTTTAAATAGATATATGTTTCCATAGCAAAAACAAAAACAAAAAAACACAATGTTTGTTTTGTTTTTAGCTTAAAACCTCCATGTGCTTTTTGGTGCTTGGAGCCAGGCATCTGTATGGCAGCTGATTTTTCAGGAGATCTTGTTCCACATAGTTCTGATTATCTGCTCTGCTCAGATAGTGTGACCAAGATCTGAATACTTAAGTCTATCTTATAAGCAAAAGAAACCAATCTTCTATTTGAGACAGCAAATGACCTGCCTAGAAAGAAGCTATGTACCTGGCACCAAATGTCATTGAATTGCTAATAGTGATCATCAGAGTAGGCCAAAAAAGGTTTTCAGCCAGAGCAGCTCAAAAACAAATCCAGATTTTTGGTGTGGCGAGATTTATATTAGATAAAAAAAAACTTTAAAAAATATTTAAGGATACTTTTCTCACGTCAAAAAAGTGCCACAGCCCAAACTATGTGATCTCATAGCATATCTTAAAAGATTTGGCGTTTATCTTCTGCGCTCCAAATGAGTTGTATCCACTGACGTGGAAATAAAAATGCCATTGAGTGAGTATTTGTCAGGCTTTATCTGTTTCTTCAAGGTGTTTTGATGGTAAATCTCTTACACTTGTATCTTCTTTAGTAAGTGTCAGTTTAATCCTGAGTTTGGTAGCGTTTGAAACAGGTAGAGTGGATTGTGTTGCCAAAACAAATACATTTTGGTGTATGTGTGTGTATTTATTTTAGCAACCTGATTTTAAAAGCTACTGTATATACTCGTATGGAAAAAAATGACAACCCCCCCCCCCAAAAAAAAAAAACTCTATGCACAACTTAGTGCTAAAATAGGGATGCAATGTGAAGGCAGTGAGAAGAGGTAAAGGTCAGAGGCACTCCTGTCCCATTCTCCTCTTGCCCAAACTAGAGGAAGAAAGCCCAACTAGTGTTCATCAGCACTGTGTGTGTGTGTGGGGGGGGGGGGGGGGGGAAGCCTGGAGGACATGGTACCCTGCCATTTTGGCACTTGAGGTGGAGTGGAGGAACCATGGCCATTTTAAATAATGGCTTACTGCATAACCTTCTCTACAGAAGAACTGCAGTGGTTATTTCTCATAGGGGAAGAGAAGCTTTGTAGTAATCACCTATAAAAATGACCACTACAGTCTCTCTGTCTCAACCATTCTAGGTCCTTTGATGATGATGATAATTTTAGCATTCTAAACTATATTAACACAGTCTAATTAAGAAATGACATTATTAAAATAAGCATCATTGGACAGACTGAATATGTTTCTAAAAATAAATAAATGTGATTCTTTACTGAGTAGAGGTCTTGCCACTTTCCCAAGGACTAGACATACTAAATCTGTTTGAACTGTAGTCTTAAAAAGTTAAATCAGAGACTGCATTTAAGGTATGTTTTTAGTTTTTTTCTCTAGTTTGCAGAGAGAAAACACGATTTGAAAAAGCACCTGTATTTGGGCAACCTGGTAAAAAATAGAATAAAACTCTTATGTTTTGTTTAGTTGTTTCTGCTGCCCTCATGACTGATTGGATAATATGGACTGACACAGGCTCATACCCTTTAAACCTGGACTTATCCAATCCTACCTGATTTTCTCTCTTTGTTTACTTTCTAAGAAAACACCCCTTGTCTCTTTGTATTCGCCATCACCCTATAAGCAAAACCAGTGAGAGGAACAATTGTTGCTCTCTCTCTGGCCTACTTGATCTTTAATTGAAAGATGTGTAGTAACAACAAAAATCTTAAGCATTATAAAGATTAACAGATGTGTTGAGTATAGCTTTTGTGTGCTGAAGATAAATCATTGCTCCTGAAAGCTTTCAGGAAAGACAGTTCATCCTTCCCTCCTAAAGAAGGGCTAAAAATGATTTTGGAGTGATTCCTACATGTAGTCCGACATATCATTTTGTCTGTCCCCGACCTGTAGGAAAATCTGTTTGATTGCTCACAAATGAAAACATGAATGTGTGAATAGCCTAGGAGGGATAGGTGAAGCATGTACAAGCATAAGTACTACATAAATTTATCTGTACATTTATCTGGATAGATATCAGCAGTGCTCTAACTTGTGCCTGCACTTTGCCTGCCCTCTTTTCCCATGCATATCATGTATAGTTTGTTTCCTTTCCATCTTTTCTGTTCTAAAAGAGACAGTGGATATTTCCTTTATTCATCTCCCTTAAGATCATTAAAGAAGGCTACTGTTGATTGAGATTAACAATAAAAACATGTGGTATTTGTATAGTATCCTCCCTGTCCAGAGCACGTCATATGCAAGATCTTCTTGTAATCCTTGCAACAAACCAGTATGTTGTCTGAGTATCATTGCACATATGGTAGGTTAAAAGAGATTTTATTTTCCTGGGATGACTTGGTTAATTTATTATAGAAATAGAATTCAAATGTACGACTTACTTTTCTTTGGCACTGCATTACACCAGTTCTCAGGTATCATCTGTTTTGGGTTTGGAAGCAGGCATTTGTTTGTGGTTAGTTTGCAACTTATATTGGGACAGCTTATTGGCAAGTTATTTACTTTTTTGTTTTCAAAATTCATTGGAGATAATTTTACACTAGTACTTGTGCTGTATAGTAATATACAAGGAAATTGCATGTTCCAAAATGTGCACACTTATGGAACATTTCTGTTCTTCATGTGCAGTGGGATAAGCATGTGCAGTCATCATGGCTTCTGAGGTTCATATCATATTTCACAACATAATGGTCACCCATTTCGCCCCTTCAAAACAGGTGCGTGCGACTATAGTGCAGTGAAATATTTTGAGGCAACCGAGACAGACCTTGTAGACCTCTCCCACTGGTGTGTGGGGGCAAGCAAAGTCTCCAGGGACTCCTTCAAGTGCTGGCAGCTGAGGGGGACCCTGTAGACCTTGCTTGCTCATACGTGCTAGCAGGCAAGAGCTACAAGCTTTCCTACATCTCCCTGGCAGGTGTGTAGGTAGGTAAAAGCTCACCTATCCACATGCCTGCCCCTCAGAGCTACAGCAGGTGTGCGGGTGGGAGTGCAACTATTATATGAGGAATGCGTAAATCCCCAAATCGGGACTACAAAGGGGGTGCAACCAGCATATGATGAAATATGCTATTTGGCATAGGTTGCATTTAAATGCTATTTCACACCTCTGTCCAGAGCAGACCTGATATTCTGAAACACAGATTTTCCTTGTACTTTTTTTTCTAATTGTTTGACCTAGAGAAGGTATGGTCAATTTTAATAAACTGAAGCAAAGAACATTTTAACAAGTTTTGAATTATTTAAACATATTATATTAGCACACATATGTATTAGCATACATTACCAGAAAAAAGTTGAAAAAAACCACCCATGCATGTACTAATTCCCCCATGCTTTTTCTCTAAGCTTTAGAGAAAAGGAAACATCTGGCCATGAATATTAAAATATATATTTTTATCCACCCCATCAAAAACCTTATCCTTCCCTTTTAATATCATAATCTAATTCCCCCATTTTCTTTAGCTTGCTGACTCTCATGTGGATCCCAACAAAAGTCCTGGAATTAAGAGCTTCAGTATTCAGTTATCAGGGACAGAAGAGGAGTTTCTGTTTGATGTCTGTTATGTGACATAGGAGAAACATCTGGTTGCATAGAAAACCACTAACCCCTCGCAAAATACCCCCTTACTACTTATAAGCTAAACCTTATACAGGGAGTCCCCAAGTTACAAACAAGATAGGTTCTGTAGGTTTGTTCTTAAGTTGAATTTGTTTGTAAGTCAGAACAGATACATTTTTAAAATGTAACTCCAGCCAAAAATATACATTTTCTTAATTGTGGATAGCATAGGGAAGAATGAACACCCTTGTGTGGTTTGTTTTGCTGTCTGTGCCCCTGTTCTGAAGATATCACTCACTTTCTGTCTTTGTGATAATTGGATTAAAAAAATTGTCTTGTTTTGGAAACAAGGACTGGAGCTAAAGCTTCATGAAGACACTTTTTCCCTATGATATTTTCCTTCCTAGGGGTAGATACTCTTATTTCCTGTTGTCTCATCCCCGTTCTTAACTATGAGTCATTTCTAAGCCAGATGTTTGTGACTCAGGGACTGCCTGTAATTCCTCAACCCTGAGGAACTAAGAAAAAGTTCAGGTTTTAGAATTGTGGAATGTTTGTTTAATTATTAACTTAACAAACAACTTAATTCTGTTGAGCCACAATGCAGAAATTCTGATTTTAAATTAATAATTTTCATTAAAATGTAGTTAAAGTCTTCCTGTATTGTCAACTTTTCAACTTAATATATACCTTCATTGATTTTAATTTGTTTGATTTGCTTCTTTTTATTGCTGGCTCATAGGCCATGCATTTTTCTAGCTTTCAGAGCTCCTTCCTCTCTCTTGTGTTTTCTCCCTCATTTAAAAAAGATTTTGCCTCATTATATTTTCAGGTTCTCCAAGTCAGCACCAATGTTTCTGGATGATTCTTTCAAAAAGTGGGCAAGGATCCGGGACTTTGTACCTCCTTTTGGAATTAAAGGGCAAGGTAGGGTGATACTACAACTCCTTTTTGTATGGGATTATTGTTATTTTAGCTTCTGCCAACCTAGCAGTTCGAAACCATACAAATGTAAGTAGATCAATAGGTACTGCTCTGGCAGGAAGGTAACAGTACTCCATGCAGTCATGCTGGCCACATGATCTTGGAGGCGTCTATGGACAATGCCGGCTCTTTGGCTTAGAAATGGAGGTGAGCACCAACCCTCAGAGTTGGACATGACTGGACTTAATGTCAGGGGGAAACCTTTACCTAGTTCTACTGCATAAGTCCTTGTAATCTTGTGTATAACGTATTTCCCCATTGCCATTTCTGGGAAGACCACTGAAGTTCACATCTTTCCAGTGTATATTTTTATATGAAAAGTAAACTGAAATTGCTTGTTGATTCACAATTAAGAAGTTAGATTGACAGATAGAAAAATGGCAATAACATAAAAGAAATGTCACAAATGTTTTTATAAGTAATTTTGTAGTTAAAATTTGAGGAAACTAAAACATATTTTATAAACAGTTCAAAGAATATCTGAAATTAGATCCTTGCACTTAAACCCAATACAAATGTTAAATCAGGAGTTTGGCATATTACTACATAGTAAAGTGTAGTTCAGTTAACTGATTGGGTGCAGAAAAAACACTGATATAAATATAAAAACATGTAGATGAAAGTCATAGAACAGGAGCAAAACACAGATGCCACAAAGACCTAAGAAAGTGGGATTTTCAAAACATTTAGTTAGCAAATGTTCATATAAAACTAAACAAATGCCTTTCAGGAAGAGCATAAAACCAGGGCCCTGTAGACTTCAGTTCAAATAAATACCTGGATTGCAAGTGTGTAAAACTTACCTTGTACGATGCAAAGCAGTAGTATTATTAATTATTATTATAATTATTATTGATGTTTTGTTTCAAAAACAATAAAAGCAAGGGGCTGCCAGCCTTAGAAGTCTTAAAAAGGTTTTGATATTATATAAAACATGAAAATAGATAAAAATCAGGGTTTTCTTAACTGGAAAAGTCCACAAAGTTCCTGTGCTATTAGATCTGTTAAGGAGGCTATTGGACTTACATGAAGATGTGTTCTGTTTGTAATTGCGATTATTTTTTTTTGTTCTGTGATTTTCTGTCTCATCTCTGTGGTGAATTTGTTTCATATTGCAAGATATCTTAAAGTAAAGAATACAGTGTTCCCTCACTACTTTGCGGTTTGCTTTTCACGGACTTGCTGTTTCACGGGTTTTTGCGGTACTCATTCTGCATATGTGTAGTACGCCCGCCATTGGCCCGCAGCCCTGCCAGCAGTTGTCAATCACAGCTTGTTTACCAGCTTGTGCGGTGCCTTTAAATCTCTCCCTGCTTCTGCCTCTCTCTCTCTCTCTCTCTCTCTATATATATATATATATATATATAGTGTCCCTACTTTGCGGATTTTCACTTATTGCGGTCCTGGAACATAACACCCACAATAAGTGAGGGAACACTGTATAGTGATGGTTGGTCTTGAGAGTGAACTCAAGTTGAGAAATAACTTAATCTATTTTTGTACTTGAATTGATCATGTCATTCTGTCCAGGAATAACACTTGGTGATGTGAAATTTCAAAAGGCTCAAGTAACCATCCAGTTTTGATCTGACAAAGTACAGAAGGGATGTTTTGAGAAGTACCTACGCTAAGGCATACAAAGTGTATCTAGTAATGCAATATGTTGGAAGAAGCTGCCATGTGCAGAACTATTAATACATTATATTGTAACTTGTTGAAACTCCTTCTAGTTCTATTCTGAGTAAGGTGATCAGAACAGTGCTAGATGCCCTGAAACCTCAGGCACAACATTACATAAATTTCGAGTTTTCAGCTTTTTGTAGCCTCTTTGGAAAGGTAAGTAGGATAAAGCTTAAGCGGCTGAGGGGGTAAAGGAAGGGGCCTGAGGCTGTAAGGAATTGTGGGAGTTGAAATCCCCAACACCTGGAGGACCAAAGTTTGCCCGTGCCTGATATAGACAGTGGCATACTTAAATACAAAATCTCTTCGATAACCTTATTTACTTTATTTAAGGATAGTGGGATTATTCAGCACACATTTTAAGACTTGGCGGCTTGGTACATAAAGTGGTCCTGGAATGGAGCGCAGTGAGGTCTGTGTACTCAATGTGATTTTGTTGAGATGGTAGATTAAACAATGGTACAAGGTTGCTATAATTTCTGTCTTCACATTACAGATAGGTGCAATGATGTAGTGGTTGTAGTTATCCTAATTAGAGGAGCATCTCAGAACATGAGCCTGCTAGTATTATATCCCCTGTAAGTAAGAATAGTCCAAACTACTGTGGGCAGGTGGCTTCCATGTCTTTTGTGTAGGTGTCTTGAGTGTGGATATCATTTTACCCTACCCAATAGAAATGTTTCACTCCTAGCAAAGCAGATAATCACTGTAAATACAGCTATACAGCTGGTGCAAAAAGCTTAACCACAAAAGCTATTAAAATGCTGGAGAAAAGAGGGATATTGTACTGTATTGATTATGAGGCTGTTGTAGTACCAGTTGTTTCCTAGATCTCAAGATGTGTGGAAACAGAAGGACTGCATGCCTCAGTGCTAGAGTGTTTTAGATCTCCCAAACAGCAGATCAGTTTTTCTGCTAAACTGAATCAAGATGGAGAACATGTACCTATTAAGACTGAATGGCTATGGCAGTTTTTGGTTTCCATTTCCAGGCTGTTTTGTCACAACCAACCACCACAGTGTTATGTAAATTTAGAGTCTTATACTGGCTTTCCTTCAGTTAAAAACACATACTGCTGTTATTGAAATGGCTGGGAGCTGAAGCAATGGGAGCTAAAGAGCTGAATGGATTGTTTAATGCTCCCATGGGACAGAACTTTGTGCCAGGATTCAGTCTAAAGCAGCTTGTACGAGTGGGAGAGAAGAATTATTACCTTCAGTAAACCGGTGTGCCTAATGGCTGTGCTGACAGGCCAGGAGCGTGAGAGAGGCAAATAGCACCCCTTTGCATCACACATCACTAGGAATTCTTGCATCAGCCTTTTCTCCTTATCCCGTGGGATGCATTGAGGATGAGTAATTGTGACGTGACGATGGGATCAGCACCTCATTAAGGTCTTCCATCAGGACTGGTCTAAAACTGGTTGAAATAGGACCGCAAGAAGGAGGTGCTGATGGGTGCCAAAACCACAACAGCCTGTGAAAAAGAGCAGCTCTCCAAAGAAGGATATGCCAGCTTGACATCAAGGTTCATCTGTGATCCTTCATGAGGGCCCTTACAATTGCCAAGGGAGTTTGATGGCTCAGTACATACTATGGCAGTGCTTGGTATAACTGTTCCAGACTGTCAACCTGTTTGCCAGCATAGGGATTAATTTGAATTGGCACAGGGATTAGATTGCTTTGTTCCAATCTATTGCTTGTGGTCTGGACAGTCACTTTTCCAAGTTTCAAACTGTTGTGCTAGACAGCTTTCAGTCTCTTCATTTTGTTAACAGATTGTAGAAATCACTATGTCAGAATACAATTTTATCTCAGATCTTTGACAGGGAAGTTTGTTACATATGGGACTGGATATCATGTTTTGGGTCATATATTCCAAATATTCTTACATAATTGGAACAAAACAATTTATAGTAACCAATCTATTTGACATTTCCCAGCTTCTTTATCCAACAGTAACACGCAAGAACAATTATTCAAAAGCAATAGAAACAAAGTGCCTCTTTTTCTGAGGTCTATTATTAATCAATACCACAATAGCAAGGTTCCCAGGAAACAATAAGTATTGCAAGGTTCCCAGGAAACAATAAGTGCTGTTAGTAATTGGACATAGGTTTTAATAAAGGCCTTTCCATATGGTGTGCCACAAACCAATTTTTCAAGGAAATTTTTTTTTTTCAAATCTAAACCTTACGGGAAGGATTTTTACTTGCCAGATTGTAATTGCAAATGAGCAGTGTAGGTTGGAAATCAATATTCTTAATTTGTGGAGTTATTTTCTTTTTAAGCAAAATATTGATGAAAAATTGTTTTTGTGCATATGTTGTAGGGGGTTTTTAAGGTCATGAATACACATACTCAGCAAGCTTAATTCACAGAACTTTAAGGGAAATTTGTGGAGAACTCATTTGAAAGTATTTATTGTTCAATGTAAGTAAACTGTTGTATTTATTCAACTATAATTTTAAAAAAATCAATGAAAGAACTAATATTGAAAATCTCAGTGCAGTTATCAGTGCTTCTTCCATAGGAGTTGAGGCCAACCTGCCCAGCTTGGAAGATAAGAAAGGAGAAAGCCGGGGCTGCCAAAAAAGCTGTATTTATTTTCACCTCCTCTTTCTTCAAATATAGGGACTCCAGATATAGGGATCTCCTCTCTTTAGGTGAAAGGTCATGAAGAACTTTTCCAAAAAGAGACTTATGCACATGTAAGTCAATAAATCTGCTCCCCAGAAACTGGCTGTGAGGAAGCATTATCTTGAAAAGGGAGCAGAGTTATTAACTCACATACACAGATATCTTTTGTACATGCTTTGTGACCCCTCCTTGTGGGGAGCAGAGACAGCCTTTTTGACAACCTCAACCCATTTCTTCCTTCTCCCCTGAGCCCTTTCAGCTCACTAGTCAAGAAGTCTGTGTGTAACTGAGCAATCCAAAAGAACCTTCCCACATCTTGTACTGATGTAGTTTAAACCGCTTCTCATCCATCCAACCTTTATGGTTAACATAAAACACCGGTTGCAATTTTAAAGTTATTTGGCATTATTTTACTTTTTGTCACCTTTTCCATCCTTTGTCACATGCACCTAAGTTTTACCCACAATTTATTTATGGATCATAGCAAATTTTGGGCCCAAAACCTGCCCTCAACTTACCCATGAGATAGACTTATAGTTGTATGTATAGTACATACAATAAAATGAGGGGGGAAAACAGCATGCATTTCGTTCCAGGGTATATATTGTGATATTTTCATGTTGT